CCAAAAAGGAGGCATACACCCAGTGGAAGGGAGGGGCTATCACCAAAGAGGAGTATACCTCCACCGCTCGGGTCTGTAGGGGGGCTGTTAGAAAAGCTAAGGCAGATACAGAGCTAGGGCTAGCTTCAAGGATCAAAGAAGATAAAAAGTCCTTTTTTAAATATATAGGGAGAATGATGAAGGCACTGGGTAATGTAGGGCCCCTGCAGGATATGCTTGGCAATCTGGTGGTTGCACCAAAGAAGAAAGCAGACCTCTTTAACAAATTCTTCGCCTCCATTTTTCTGTGCAGGGACCGGAACTCCCTGACTAGGATTCCAGACGGACTTAGAAGAAACGCCACCAGGCCTAAGGTTGGGGGGGACCGGGTTAGAGAGCTTCTGGAGGGGCTGGACGTGTTCAAATCAGCAGGTCCAGATGCTCTCCACCCCAGGGTGTTGAGGGAATTGGAAGGGGTTATTGCAGGGCCCCTAGAACGGCTTTACGAGCACTCATGGTGCTCTGGCCAGGTGACTGGAAGAAAGCCAACATGGTCCCCATCTTCAAAGAAGGAAAGATCTGTATGAAGAGATTTAAAAATAAAGCAACTTCTCCTTTTTATAGCATAGTCTGAATGAAGCTGGAATGAAAATTTAAAGTTAATACAGTGCTTATGTTATGACTTCTAAATGATATTTAAGAGAGTCTAATGATATGAGGAATCCAAATGCACTGCTACAAACCACGACCTTCTGAACAGATCTACCCAATTGAAAACTTCACTTTCACTCTAGTAATACTATAAGTGTTATCTCTGTACTGTTAGCCACAGTTTGCAATGAAAAACTTTAAACAATCCAGCTTCTTAAAATTAACTCTGAAATCCTATTTATATTTGTGTATGTTCTCTTTGTCACCTTGTTTTAAAACTAAGCTTTTTATGATTATATTGGGCCCACACTACTCAATTTCTTTATTAGTGACTTGGACGACGGGTTAAAAAGCAGCCTGTTTAAATTTGCTGATGACACCAAGATTTGGGGTGAGGTGGGCACGCTAGTAGGGAAGGACAGATTACAGCAGGACCTGGACAGGTTACAGGGGTGGGCTAACGAAAATAGGATGGGATTCAATACTGACAAGTGCAGAGTGCTGCACTTGGGAAGTGGGAACCAGCAGCACACTTATAAGCTGGGAAACTCCCTTCTTGAGAGCATGGTGGCAGAAAGAGATCTTTTAGTCATTACTGACTCCAAGATGAACATGGGCCGACAATGCAAGGTCACAGTCAGTAGGGCTAACCGTACCTTGTCGTGCATCCACAGATGCATCTCAAACAGGGCCAAGGAGGTGATCCTCCCTCTCTATGCGACACTGGTCAGGCTGCAGCTGGAGTACTGTGTTCAGTTCTGGGCGCCGCACTTCAGGAGGGATGTGGACAGCATTGAGAGGGTCCAGAGGAGGGCCACCCGCGTGATCCGGGGACAGCAGGACAGACCCTACGAAGAGAGGCTACGGGACCTGAACCTGTTCAGCCTTCACAAGAGAAGGCTGAGGGGGGACCTGGTGGCCATCTATAAACTCACCAGGGGGGACCAGAAGGGTTTGGAAGAGACCCTGTTTCCCCTAGCGCCCCCGGGGTAACAAGGAATAACGGCCACAAATTGTTAGAGAGTAGGTTTAGACTGGACATCCGAAGGCGCTACTTTACGGTCAGGGCGGCTAGGATCTTGAACCAACTTCCAAGGGAAGTGGTGATGGCTCCTACCCTGGGGGTCTTTAAGAGGAGGCTTGATGTCTACCTGGCTGGGGCCATTTGAGCCCGGTTTTCTCTCCCACTTAGGGCAGGGGGTCAGACTTAATGATCTACAAGGTCTCTTCCGACCCTACTTCTATGAATCTATGCTGGAGGCCTGCAACTTGGGCGGGTCATCTGTAGGGAATGTCCACATCTTAATGGAACATGACCTGGGTGTCGCCGCCAAGAGCCACGGCGCGGGGCTCGGGGCTTTAGGAGCCCTAGTTGGCGGGCGGGTACTTGTGACGCTTGGAGTGGAATCAGGTACTCAAGCGTTTTGATTGAACAAAAAGGTTGTTTACTTACACTGCTCGTACAGTGCAGGCCAGAAGCTTGCTTCGATTACAGTTGTAAACAAAACTTGGGTTGGGCAGAAATTACAAAGTTGGTTTGGTCGGTCTGCAAACGTGTCGGGGTGTTCGGGGTATTCAGGCCGGCAGTCGTCTTACGTCTCGGGTGGGGGTGTGCTAGGCCCCCTTGGGTCAGTGACGGGGAGTCCTTAGTGGTTGATCAGGCCGCTAAGTTCGCTCTGAAACACGCGTGGAGTTTGCTAGGCTCCACAGTGTACAAGAGTTCTCCACGAGGTGTGTGTGGAGTCCTCCAACTTGGGCGGAAACTGCTTCAACCTCTTATACGGCTAGCAAGCCAATCGCTAGTCACCACGTAGGAATAATTTAAAACTGGCCAATAATAATGTGAATTTGCATATGAGTGGCGGGAACTTTTTTCTAAACTGTAATTTTCCACTACTGTAGCATTTGATTACTGGGTTCAGGCATAGCGGAATTTTCCTCCATGACCTAGTTACTGCCACCAGAATGATTGACAGCAAAACTATGCCATATGTATCGAACCCATGGAATTTTCCTCTGTGCTAT